GCCCGAGGGTGCTACCGGCGTCTCCCCTGGGACCACCCCCGGGACCGCCCCCCGGCACCGGCACCGCCCCGCCGGTGCTACAGGCACTGCCGCCGGGACCGCCTCAGACACCGCCCCCTGGGACTGGCACCGCCCCGCCGGGACCGCCCCGCCGGTACTACCGGAACCGCCCCCCGGGACGACCCCCGCCACCGCCCCCTCTCCTCCGGTGTCACCGGCACCTCCCGCCGCGCCTCACCGGCGGCCCCGCCCACAGACGGCCCTGCCCCGCCCCAGAGCCGTCAGACCGCGCCCCCGAGTCACCAGACCACGCCCCTACCTGCGACCCCGCCCCTGAACTGACAGGCCCCGCCCCCAGCCCCCCGCGGGCCGCCTCGCCCCCCCATCACCCCGCCTCCGCCGAACCTCGGGGGTTGGTTTGGGACCCCTGTCCCAGCGCAGGTCACCCCCCCCACCCCACGGGGGCTCTTGGGGTCCCCTGTCACAGAGCAGCTCTCGGCACCCCCCTCAGAGCTGTTCAGAGGGGTCTCATCCCCTCATCCCGGGTGTTCCTTGGGGTCCTCTGTCCCAGAGCAGCTCTAGGGGACCCCCACCCCAGAGTGACTCTTGGGGATCCCGTTCCTGGGCGGTTCTGGGGGATCCTGTCCCAGATCAATTTTCGGGGACTCTCATCCCATGGGGGTTTTCAGAGTCCCCCACCCTAATGGCAGTTCTCAGGGACCCCCAGCCCGAGCTGTTCTGGGAGACCCGGTCCCAGGTGGTCTTGGGGTTCCCTGACCCAGTGCAGCCCCGGGGGTCCCCCCATCCCACACAGCCATCCCCGGTCCCCGTACCCCGTAATGTACTCCCTAACGCAGCCCCTCTGTGGAGAAAATCGGCAGTTCCGGGGATTTCTCCCATTTTTCATCCTGAGGGGGGTACACCTGGGGTGGACACACCTGGGGTGACTTCAGGTGCCGAACCTCGGATCCTGGAGCTTTTTGGGGTGCAAATGCGTCTCAGTTTTACCCCGTATCATCAAAATTCTGCACCCCCCAGCAGGGATGCTGCTCCTCCCCGTGGCGATGACCTGCACAGCGGGGCAGGAGGTGAGCGGGGGGGGGAGCATCCCGGGTGGGGGGGGGGGGGGGTGTCCGGGAGGGGGAGGGGGTGACCGGGGGGGGGGGACACACAGGAGGTGACCTGGTGCGGGAGGGACAGAGGGTGACCCTCGCCCGGGGGTGTCCCCAGCATGTGCTAACGGGCCATTAGCAGTTCGTTGTTTCCCCAGCCCAGCCCTCCCCAGCTGCCAACATCTGGCTGGAGCACAAACGGGGTGCTCGGGGGATTTGGGAGTGGCCTTTCTCTCCCCAGAGCCTTCCTCCACATTCGGGGTTACCCAAAATTTGGGCGAGCAGCAGGGAAGCAGAGGTGGAGGGGCTCCTCAGAACTCCTTTGGCGTCTCAACTCTCCGAGGCCTGCCGGGCTCGGGGGGCCACGGGGAGAACAACCCACCCATGAGACACCACTGTCACCCAGAGGGAAAATAACGGGGGACCGAGCTCCCCCTACCCCGGGAGGGTGAGGTGGAGCTTAAGGAGCCCCCCTGCCCCCCCCCATTTGTCCCCAGTGACAGTGATGGTGACAGGGCTGTGCCAGGATTTTCCTCCTTGGGGCTTCAGGCTTTGGTTTAGGGGGGTTGGAGGGATGTGGGGGTCCCCCCTGTGCCCCCAATCTCCAGTGAAAAATGTATCTGGGAGAGTGGGATGGGAGATGGTGAATGGGGTGGTCTTGGGGTGCCTGAGGGTCCTGCAATCGTCAAGAGTCCCAAGGCAGCTGAGTGTCCTGGGGTGGCTGACAGTCCTGGGCCAGATGAGGATCCCGGAGTGTCCAAAATTCCTGGGGTGTTCAAGGTTCCCAGAGTGGCCAAAGGTCCTGGGGTAGGTGTTGGGTCACTGTAGCCAAGGGTCCTGAGTACCTGAGGGTCCCAGAGTGTCCAGGCTTCCTGGGGTGGCCATGGGTGCAGGAACAGCAGAGACTCCCCGGGGTTGTTGAGCTCCTGTGGTGGCTGAAGGTCCTGGAATGTCTGATGGTCCCACCTTAGACTCCCCAACCCCCTCCATCCCACAGATTCCCCATCCATCCATCCCATCATCACTCCCAGAGCACCAAACACCACCTAACATCACCTCAACACCCATTTTAGAGGCTCTCTTGGGTTTATAGGACCTACAAAAATGTTGGGAAACAGCCCAAAACTGCAGTGCTGATGGTGCCCGTGTTATGACTTGGGGACATGCAAGGCTGGGAGTTGCTGGGGAGTGCTAGGTGACATGGGACATTCATGCCAATGCCAGGAACCAGTCATATCCTCACTCCTCGAGAGCTCATCCCACATTATTTATGGGGAACCTGGGCAAAAGTAATGCTTAAGGTAATAATTTATATTTTTTAGCATCCTGGGGCGCACACAGCTCCCTCAGAAACATCCACACCCCACGTGGGAAGGGGACCCCATCACATGTTCCTCTAACCATGGAGCTGTTTAGGAAGAAGGGGTAGACGTGAGCTCCCCATTCAGCACAGGGCTAGAACAGCTGGAAATGTTAATTAAACAGAGGGTAATAAAACATCTGGAGGGCTGGGAGCAGGGAAGGGCCGTCCGGCACGACCCCCCCGCAGCTGCCTCCTGCTTTTCCTTGGGAATCTTGGGCAGGGGGGACTGGGGTCACCAGTGATTTGGATGGTACAAAAGCCTTTTCATGGAGTATTTCAGGCAAAGCAACTGAAGAACCTTTGTGGAGCAGTGAGAGGGGCTGCCGGGGGGTGGTGGAGCCTGGTAGCACTGGGGGTTTGGGGGTGGGAGGTTGGGGTTCACTGCCAGGCTGTGGGTGATGGAGTGAGACGAAGACAATGGTTTGGAGGTGCTGGATGAAGCCCCATTGGGTGCCACCCCAGCACCCCCGTGGATGCCCATTATGGGGAAACGAGCCCACTGGGTAAAAAAAAAAAAAGGGGGAAAAAGGTTTTTCCAGTGGGTCTGTCCTGCAGGATGGCTGGTCTCGCCATGGTAGGACCCTGCTCCTGCCTTGGGGAGGGATGGGGAACCCCCTCTGAGCATCCCCTGGGGAGGGGCACAGGGACACTGGGGTGAACTGGGGACTCTCCAGTGTGGTGGGACACACGAGTGGGATGGGGACACCCTGATGAGATAGGAACAACCTGGTGGGTCAGGGTCACCCTGGGCGGGATGAGGGTTCTCCTGCTACATGGAGGCACCAAAATGCAATAGGGGCACCCCAGCAGGACAGGGATGATGGGATGGGGTGGGGGGCACCCTGGGTGGGATGAGGGTTCTCCTGCTACATGGAGGCACCAAAATGCAATAGGGGCACCCCAGCAGGACAGGGATGATGGGATGGGGTGGGGGGCACCCTGGGTGGGATGGGGGCACTCAGGAGGGTGAAGGCAACTAAATAGGATGGGGGCGGGGTACGGACAACTTCAGCAGGGTGGAAGCACCCAGATGGGAGGGATCACTGTGGGAGGGATCGGGGACCTGCATGGGATAGGGGAACTCTGGGCATGATGGGGGGACGAGGGCAGGATGGGGGGGAAAAAGACGGAATGTGGCAGACCATGGATGCACTGAAAGCACTCGGATGGGAAGTGACCCCATGGATGGGACGGGGGAGACCCCAGCTGGAGCACCCTGGATAGGGCAGAGGACCTCTGGATGGGATGAGGGCTGCCCGGATGGGATGGGGGGACCCCGCACGGAACGGGGGACCCCGAACGTGCAGGGAGCGCCGGGCGCGACGGGACCGGCCGGCGCCCCGTGGGCGCCCCATGGGCGGCGGGGCCGGTGCGGGGCCGGTGCGGAGTCGGCGGCGGGACCCGTGCGGGGCCGGCGGGGCGGTGCGAGCCCCTGCCCGGCCCCCGGTGTCGGTTTGCATCCCGGCTCCTCCCCGCCCCGCCGCCCCGCGCATTCCCGACCCTCCGGGCGGCGGCGGCGGCGGCGGCGGGGCCCGGCGGGGCCGGGGCGGGACCCCACGATGCCGCAGCTGGAACCGACGGGGGGGGACGACCTGGGGGCCCCCGACGAGCTCATCGCCTTCCAGGACGAGGGCGAGGAGCAGGACAAGGGCGCGGGGCGCGGCTCGGCCCACGGGGACCTGGACGAGCTCAAGTCCTCGCTGGTCAGCGAAACCGAGAACCGCGGGGGCCCCGGCCCCGGGGGCGGCCCCGGCCCCGAGGTGAGGCGGGGGGCGGCGGGAAGCCGGGGGGACGCGACCCCCGCCCGGCCCCGCTCCGCTCACCGCCTCTCCCCGCAGGCGGAGCGGCCCCCGCCGCCCCGGGAAAGTTTCCAGAAGCCGCGGGACTCTCTGGCAGAAGGTACCGGACCCCCCCCCCGGGCCCCCCCCTCCCCTCCCGCTCCCCGCTGCATCCCCCGGGACTAGCCGACACTTCCCAACTTCTTTGTTTCCGCCCCCGGCTGCGGGCGGGACCCCCCATGTCTCCCCCCCCGGTCTCCCCTCGTGTGTCTCCCGGTTCCCCCCTCCCGTGTCCCCCTCCTCGTGTACTCACCCTCCCATATATCGCCCCCGGGTCCCCCTGCTCCACCCCGTGTCCCCCTAATTCCTCTCCCTGGTGGCCTCAACACCCCGTGCCCACCCCGTGTCCCCGTAATTTCCTCTCCATGTCCTCAACTCCCCCCCCGTGTGTCCCCCCGTCGTGTCCCCCAAATTCAGCCCCCGTGTCCCCTCCCCCGTGTCGTGTCCCGCCCCCCCGCCCCGGTTACCGGCCCCGGTCGCTCCCCTACGGGTGGATCGGTGCCCCCCGCCCCACGGAGGAGCCGGGCTCGGACCCCCCCCCCAGCTGGGTCCTTTCTGGGAGTGACTAGCACCGTGACCCTCTGCCCCCCGGCAACCCCCGTGCCGCCGAGATCACTCTCCCGCGGCCACCCAGCAGCTGGGACTCCCCGAGAACCACCAAGGACACCCCCGAGAGACTTGGGCACCCCGAGAGGGACCTATCCGGGCCCCTTCCAAGTCGGGACACCCCCCCTGCTCCCCCGAAGAACCAGGGATCCCTAAGGGACTTGGACACCCTTAGAGGGACCTACCCAGGTCCCCCCAAGTGGGGACCTCCCTATAAAAATCAAGGACACCCCCCAAGGGACTTGGACCCCCAAAGCGACTCGGGCACCCGCAGAGGGACCTTACTCACGGCTTCCCACGTGCGGACCATTCCCCGGGAGTACCAAGGACTCCTACAAAGTGACTTGGGCACCCCAGAGAGACCTGTCTAGGACTCCCTACAAGTGGAGAGAACTCCCCCAGAAGAAGAAAGGACCCCCCCAGAAGGATACTGGGCACTGGGCACCCCCAGAAGGACCTACCCGCCCCCCCTAAATGGGGACCCCCCCGCGAAGAACCAAGGACATCCCAAGGGACTTTGGCATTCCCAGAGAGACCTCCCCAGGCCCCACCACGCACCCTGCCTTGCCTCCCTCCGTGGGTGCCCCCCTTCCCCTCTGCCTCCTGACCTCCCCTTTCCTTCTCTCCCCAGTGGTCAGACGACAACAAGATGGGGTTTTTTTTAAGGGCCCCCCCTATCCTGGCTACCCCTTCCTGATGCTCCCCGAGTTGGGTAGCCCCTACCTCGCCAACGGAGCCCTCTCCCCCGGCGGCGCCCGCACCGTAAGTGCCCCCCCAGACCCCCTCCTAACACCTCTCTGCCACCTTTTGGGGATGCTCGGGCCTCCCCCAAGTCTTACAGCCCGTCCCGCAGGAAAACGACCACATGGTGCTAAATAAACCCCCCAAGAAATTAGGGTTATTCCCTTCACTTAGCCCCTTTGGGGATGGGGGGGGTGGGGAGTTTGGGGGGGGCCTCACCCCAGGAGATCCGCCCCGAAACCTGACCCTGAGCTGTCGCTTTTCTCATTTAAAAGGGTTTTAAAGCCGTTAATGGTCCGACATTCTCCCGCGGGGGGAGAAGTGATTAAGCAGATTGAGCGAGAATTTCGGGGGGAGGGATGGAGAGGGGGACCCACATGCCCCCGCCCCAGCAGTGTCCCTCGATCCCCAAACCATCCCATTCACGTTCCTAGGCAGTACCCTAAAGTAATTTTAGGGATATAAAAGTGTTTTAGGTGTATAAAGGTATATAAGGTGTTCCCTACCTTGTATGAGGTATATGAGGCCCTTCCCTGCCTCAGTTTCCCCTCCTGGTGCCATCCTGGGATGGGGGGGGGGGACACTGACAGAATTCTCAGCCCCCTGGGGCATCCTCAGCCTTCTGGGAGGGATGGGGACTCCGGCTGTGATACCCACTGCATCCTGGGCTGGAGCATCACAGCCCATTCCTGAATTGTCCAGGGGTATTTCTTGCTCCGGCGATGCTTTTCCACATATTGTTTCCCCAGTATCCATAGGAAACCACGTTCCCATATAGGATATATATGGGATAACAACAGTTGTGGCATTTATAATGGTTTGAAATCCCAGAATCCAGCTGGTGTTGCGTGGAGAGTTTTCTGTATTTTTAGGGTTTTCCTACTTTTGCTTTCCTGGAAGCAACTGGTTGGGGTGGCCATGGAGCTCAAATCCCGGGATTGGGAGGGTGGATTAGCTAATTATCATGGTGTTTGGCCCGTGGCTGGATAAAGGTTGTATTCCCAATTTGTCACTTTTAGGATTATGAGGTTTTGGGGATGATGCACCGCTGGCTGCAATGCCAAACACTGGCGAGGAATCTGGGATAATGAGAAGGGATTGGTGTTGGGATCCGTCACAAGCAGCCACTAATGATGATTTAATGAATCCCAGAAAGGGGATTAATTAACAGGGGCTGGAGTGCCTCCTGGATGTTTTGGAGGGATGAGTGGGGTTGGGAAAGTGCAGATTAGGGCTGAATCCTGACGGATTGGGGCCTCTTCGTGGAGCCAAGTGAGTGAGGGTTATCAGGGAGGGAGGGCAAACTGGGGGCAGTGGGGGGGACTGGTGAATGTTGTGGCACCGCCAGGTGAGGCCGGGCTGGACCCCTCGGGCACTGAGAGGGGCTGAGCTCTGTGCCAGTCACAAACCTCCCCCCTGTCCATGGGCTCCCACTGGAGCAGAGGTACCCTGGATCCCAGGACTGAACCCTGGATGTTGTCATGCTGCTGAGGCTGGGTGGGATCTGGCTGGGCACAGCATCCCCAGTGCCACATCAGATCCATCTGGGCACAGCATCCTTGATGCCATTCTGGTTCTGGCCAGGCACAGCATCCGCAATCCTGTGCTGGCTCTGGCAGGACAGAGGTCCTGCACTGCATCAGGCCAAGCTCAGCATCCTTGATCCCATACTGGATCCCGGCGGGTAGAAGATCTCCAATCTCGTCCTAGATCTGGCAGGACAGAATGTCCTCAACCCTGTACTGAATCCAGGCAGGCACAGCATCCTTGACCCTACACTGGATCCTTTTGGGTGCAGCATCCTCAGTCCCACAGCAGATCCAGTCAGTGCAGCATCCTCAATCCCAAACCAGATCCTGATGGGCACAACATCCTTGACCTCATACTTGATCTGGCCAGGCTCAGCATCCTTGATCCTATACCAGATCCACCTGGGCACAGCATCCCTGATCCCACATTGAATCCAGCCGGGCACAACATTCTTGATCCCATAGTGGATCCAACTGAGCTCAGAATCCTCCATCTTGTACCAGATCGATCCGGACACAGCAACCCCAGTCCTGTGCCGGAGACATCCAGGCACAGCCTTCCCGGTCCCCTCCTGGATCCGTGCGGATGCACTTCTCCAATACCACGTCCAGCCAGGTGCAGCATCCCCACATCCCCACGTGAAGCGTCACCTGAGGGCACCGAGCTCACGGAGCCAAACCCGTCTGCATCCCAGGAGGCTGCGGACGAGCCCGGACACGCAGAGCGCTGGGGTGGCAGGAGGCACAGGCTGCACTGGGAGCTCTTCTTCCATTTCCTTCTTTTCTCACCCCAGCCTTGGAGGAAATGAGCTGATCTGCAGGATCCCGGTGGTGGTGGCATCCTGTCCTCACGTCCCGCAGCCAAGAGCTGTGGATCGAACTGCACGGAAAGGGGAGATTTTGGGGGAAAAAACCCCACACCCCAAATAATCTCTGTGGCCAGGAGATGCTCCAAGGAGGTGGCCAGGAAGGTGATGGATCCTGGGGACAGATATATCCATGGGTTCAATCTGACGGCAGCCAAACCACTGGAGCACTTTTTTGGAATGCTGGGCAGGGAAGCACTGCTTTCACGGCTCTTCACTATGAAGTCTTTAGGAATCTGGGAAATTGATGGAAATCTGAGAAATATTTGGGAATCTGGGTACACAGTGCCTTCCTGCACCCCAGACTGGGAGAAGGCCCATCCTTGTGCCAACCCCCCAACAGATGGATGCTCCTGCCCTTTGTCTGGGTGTATTCACTTTGCTCCTGGGTTATTTCCAAACAGAATCCTGAAATTTGGCAAGTGGCCACCCACCCCAGTATCACTTCCCTGGCAATTTCTGTCTGGGGGATATTTTTGGGGCTTCACTCAGACGGTGAAGGAATTTGTTGGAACCTACTGATGGCATTGGTGTTTGGAGCAGCGTTTCAGCCCAGTTTTCTCCAGGGGAAATCAGGAATTGGGGACCCCTGAGCCTGTGTTTGGCTCCTTGGGATCATTCCTAATGACACAAAGGTCTCCAAGGTGGGATGAAAGGGAAAACTCCGGACATGCATGAACTAGATGGATGCAAATCTCTGTTGCCACCACGCTGGATCCATTCCATCAGGATCATGTGGAGTTGATGGGTTTTATCCCAAACCCAGAATTAGCTGGATCCATACAGGGGTAAAATCTCATCCCAGCATGGGAATCTCATCCAGCTTGGGATGGGAACCAGGCACGGCACTGCCAGAGAGGCGAAGCTGAGACCATGCACAGGATTGGCATTATTCCCAAAATAAACCAGTTTAACCCCAGGAATTCGAGTCTGGAGGCGAGGATTTAAATAAATCCAACCCTTCCTCAGGCATGGAATTCCATCCAAACAGCTCTCCCGACGCCATGCCAGTGTAATTAATGCACCTCCATGTAATTAATGAGCCTCGGCGGGCTGTGATCCCAAAATAAATGAGGGAAAAATCTGTAACCTGGGCTTATTCCGGCTTTTTTTTGCACCATTCCTGCGATGAATTCTCGAGGATACAGAGCCGTATCTGTCTCCTAAAGAAAACAGATCCTTAACTGCGCTGCTGCCAAAGAAAATGATTAAAATACAGATTTTTGGCAGGAAAAAAGGTTGCTCCGAAAACTGGGCGGGTCTTGCTGGCAGCTCTGGCGGAGCGTGGAGGGTTTTGGTGTTGGGATGTGTGGAGGGTTTTGGTGTTGGGATGCGGATGAAAGTGTTGGGATGGGGGGGTTCTGGCTCGGGGGGGCTGATTCGATGCTCTGCGTCTCTGGACTGTGGCAGTTCTTCCTTCCTCCTGCACCGGTTTGGGATTTGCTGGTTTGTTTAGGATTTACCTCCCCCATCAGTGCCGCCTTCCTTCCCCACCTGGAAAATATTAAGGATAAAAAGGATTTTTTCACACTTTTTGGCTTCTCCGTGTTGCTCTGTGCAGCTGCTGGGTTAATCCAATCCTTGCCGGCCCTGAGCCCTCCCCGTGCCTCAGTTTCCCCACTCCCAGACTCTCCCGCCGCCGCACACAATGGCCCCTTTATCGCGCTCCTTAATTATGCTCTTCGGCTAATTACCCTGCGGGCGGGGTTTGTAGGGCCTAAATGAGACCTACAGGAGGACTTCCCCCCCCCCCTCAATTCTTCCTCCTCCCTCCCTTTTCCAACACGATTCCCAAATTAAAGCGATGAAGTAAGTGCTCGGGGCGCCTCTGCTCAGCCCTGGGATTGTTCCGGGACTGAGGCGCATTCATCATCCTTCTGGAATTCCCAGCAGCTGCTTTTCATTAGTTTTCCTTCCTTGAAGTCGCTGGCGGGAGCTTGGGAGGGAAGAGGAACCCGGGGGGGAAGTGCCCGGTACATCCCGGATGGAGGAAGAGGAGGGATGAGGGAAGGGGGGGGGGGGGGCCGGGATCGTGTTGTTTTCCGTCTCTCTCTGTGTTCGTGTCGGGGTTTTGGGAGGAAAGGGGGGTTTTGGGAGGAAAGGGGACGGTGTGGGGGAAGGTCCGAGGAGGGTGGGGAGGGGGTGATGGTGATGTGCGGCTTCACGGTTTGCACTGGTGGTGTTTTCTGGCAACGATGTCACTCTGTGCCTTCACCCCGGGTATCCCGCAGCCCTGGGGATCCCAGAGCCCTGGGAATCCTGCAGCTCTGGGGATCCCATCTAGAGCCTCGGGCAGAGGGCAGGGGGGGTCGGCAGGCTGTGCTGGCTGTGCTGGTGTCCCATGGGGGCTGCCGGGGGGGTACAGGACCCCCTGGAGTCCCATGGCAGCTGTGGCCCCCAATGCCCAGGATGGTCGGGGGGGCTTTGGGGAGGTGGGACTGTTGGTGGCGGGGCAGGCTGAGCCTGTTGTTCCCGCCGGGATCCCCCGTGCGGATGCAGCGGGATGAATGGATCCATTGAGGCCGGGGCCGGGAGCTGCAGACAAAAGCCAAGGGGGGACTCAGGGCCACGGGGTTTGGGGAGCTGGGAGGGGGGGCAGGGAGTGGGGAGCCCAGCAGGCACTGAGCCCATCCTGCTCCAGGGCTGGTGTGTGTGTGAGGGGTGCTGGGGGCACCCATGGGTGAGGGGTGCTCAGGACATGATGAGGGATGCTCGGGGTGTCCATGGGGAGAGGCATGCTGAGGGCATCCATAGGTGAGGGATGCTTGGGGTGTACATGGGCTGCTCAAGTCACCCATGGATGAGGGATGCTCAGGGTATCTGTGGGTGAAGGATGCCCAGGGTGCTCATGGCAAGGGATGCTAAGGGCATTCATGTGTGGAGGATTCTCGGAGTGTCCCTGTGCCAGGGTCACTCTGGGCTGAGGCTGCATCCCAGGAGCCAGCTCGGCCATGTCCTGGCATCCCTCCAGCGTCATCCCACTTCCTCCCACCCTTCTCATCCCAAGTTCCCTCTTCCACCTTCCTCTGCGGGGCTGGGGCCAAGCTCTTCAGTGGATGCCACCGACATCCCTGGGATGGGGAAGGAGGTTCTGTGGCTAGAGATGAGGTTGGATAAGTGCCACCACTCTGAGCTCATCCCAAACTGAGATTTTTTGGGGTTTATTTTTCATCTCCTGGCCACTTTTTCCACCTTCCCATCCCAGCCCTGTTGGCATTTCCCACCTGGTGTCCGTGGGTCTGGGCTGTGTCACGGGAATGGATGAGCATCCATTGTTGAGGTGTCACAAGCTCTCATTCCCACCCTAAAATCATTGTCCCTGCTTGGAACACCCTTTGTCTGGCTGGTGTCACCCAAAAAATGCTGGACAAGGACATGGTGATGTGTCCTGCATCACCCCCATATCACCCTTGAAAAACCCTAAATCCTGATGGGAAAATAACGCCATCAGGAATTTTTGAGGTTCTCCTTGGGATGTGGGGATGCAGGAGACCCCCCCAAAGGTCTCCTGGCTTGAATTTGTTGTCCTGGTGTTCATGGGCAACATCTGGAGGAGATTATTTGGCTGGGAAGTGGCTGCAGGGAGGGCGTGTGGGGGGGAAGATTTATGGCTCGTTCCTTGGGCTGTAAATCCAGTTGTAATTGGGATTTCTCCCTTCCCAATTATCCCAGGGAAGCGGAACGCAGTGGGGGGTTGCAGGACGGGCGATGGGCCCTGTGGGGCTGGGATGCTCCTGGGTTTTCTCCCTGCTTTTTGACATTGGGATGATTTATTGCGGTATGAAGGACACCCCATCCCGGCTCAGGAGGGTGACAGGTTGGGTCCCTACTTTCCCTTTCTCTCCCCTTCCTGCTCCGTTTCCAGCTCCAAGGGGACACGAATCCCCACGACTGGTGTATCCCCAACACCTTCCTGTTCCTGACTCCCTAAGTGGACTGTCTTTCCGTGTCCCATGAGTGCCATTGAGAAGGACCTTTTTCCCCTCTTTTTTCCCCCCTTTTCCTTCCCTTTCCCACATTCCCCCATTTTCCCCTTTTCTCCCTTCCTTATGCCCTTTATTTCCCCCAGTTTCCCCCTTTTTCCCCTTTTGCTTTTCCCACATTTCCCCCCTTTTTTTCCTTTTTCCCCTTTCCTCTCCCCTTTTACCTCCCCCTTTTCCTTCCTCCCGTTTTCCTCCCCCCACACTTTCTTCCCCATTTCCCCCTTTTTCCTTTTTTCACCCTTTTCCCACCCTTTTTTCCTCCTCTTCCCCATTTCCTCCCCGTTTCTCCCCCATTTCCCCTTGCTTCTCCCCTCTTTTTCTCCCTTTACCCCTTCCCCCTTTTCCCCCCTTCCCTTCTCCTCATTTTCCCCCTTCTCCCCTTTTCTCTCCCTTTTCCCATGTTTCCCCTCCTTTTTTTCCCTTTCCCTCCTTCCTCCCCTTTCCCATGTCCCTCCATCCCCTTTCCCCTTTTTTCCCCCTGTTTGGGGCCCCCACCCCATTCCCACTTGACACTCCCCCCTCCACAGCATCCTGGGGTGCAGCCCCAGACGCTCCTGCCAGGGCAGATTTGGGGTTTTTGCACCTTTTTACTCCCAAGCACAAAGTTTTACAGAGTTGGACACACTGAGCCCACAATCCCCACTTCCCTCAAAAATCCCATCCCACTGTGACACATGGAACCAGATTTGGGTGTTTTTTTCCCAAACCAGCTGGTGACACTGCTCAAGGCCAGGACCTTGGGATGCCTTGGGGCAGCAGCCACACCTGGACAGTTTTGGGGGGCTCTACTAAACATCCCCCAAGCCCCCATTTCCCACCCTGATGGGGCTCTACTAAACGTCCCCCAAGCCTTTCCTGTCTCCCCAGCATGATTTTGGGAAAAAGAGCTGGAGCAGAGGCTGTTGTTTATCCCACCTCTGTGTAAGCAGGCTGGGAATGGGGGGGGGCCTCCTGGGAGCACCAGGGGACTTGGGGGACTTTGCAAAGCCCTGGGAATTTGGGCTGGAAAAGGGAATGGCATGAGGATGGACACCTGGGGGTCACCATCCCCCAAGTCCTGTCCTGGGATGGAGATGGCATGGGATGGATAGATGCTGATGGATACCAGTGGGAATCTTCCTAGGTGCTTTCCAGCTCATCTGTGGGAGTTTTGGGGTGGGGATGAAGCAGCCGGGTGCTGGGATCCCCTGGATCTTCTCCATGGTGATTCCTGTTGGATCACCTGCAGGCAAATGAAAAGGCAGCAGAGAGGCTCCTGCCCCAGAGCCTCCGGGTAATGTTTTACCTGGAAAAATGGTCCCAAACAGACCTTTTTTCTCCTAAAATGAGGCCGGTGGGTGCCGAGCCTGAGGCTTTGATCCCAGAAGAGGAGCCTGTGCTGGGACAGGCAGCACTGGGATTAATGATGGGATGTGCAGCATTGGGATGAGTTGCAGAGCCTGGAGACAGAGCACCAGGGTAGGCAGTAAATCTGGGATGGGTGAGCCTTGGGCACGTGGATGCAGTGCATCCAGCTTGGAACACCCATTTCCCTCAAAAATTGCATCTTGCATGGACATGAGACAGGACAGCAGCCTGGGACACACAGTGCTGGGCCAGGGAATCCTGGGAGATGAGGCCCATGACAAACAGTGCTGGGATATGCAGTATCAGCACATGGAATGCCGGGATGTGCGATCCTGGGACATGCAGTCCTGGGACATGCGATGCTGAGACACGGAGAGCTGGGACACCATCCTGGGACAGGCTACTCCATGGCACTGCTGGGACATGTGACACCAGGATGTGGAACCCTGAGACATACCATGCTGGGACACACAACACCAGGACATGCAACACTGGGAGATGCAATCCCAGGCCATGAGACACTCACCTGGACACGTGGTGCTGGGACACACAGCACTGGGATGTGTGATGCTGGGCCACGCAACACCGGAATGTGCAGTCCTGGGATACGTGGTGCTTGGGCACATTGACATACAACACTGGGACGTGGAATCCTGGTACACAAAACTCCAGGACAAACAATGCTAGGACAGGCAATGCTGGGATGTGCAACAGTGGGACATGGAACACAAGGGCGTGCAGTCCTGGGACATGGGACACCAGGATGTGCAACAGGGGGAGATGAAATGTTGGGATCTGCAACAGCAGGACGTGGAATGCTGGGATCTGCAACACCAGGGTATGGAATGCTGGGATGTGCAATTCTGGGATATCCAATAAGATACTGGGACACAACACCAGGACATGACACACCAGGACATGCAATCCTGGGACACACAGCTCCCACCCGGACATGCCACACTAGGACATGCAGCCCCAGCCCAGCCCCAGCCAGGACTTCTCCAGCAGCACTTTTCCCCCTTCCCAGGGAAACCCTTGCAGCTGGATCGATGCCTGTGCGGAAGAGGAGTGGAAAGCCTGTCGTGAACACCCTGAGTTGGGCACGAGGGGATCCCCCTGTCCCACTTCCACCAGGGTCTGGGGGCTCCCAGAGGGTTCCCAGAGGGTTCCCAGAGGGATGGGCTCCGGCAGGGAAGGGGTTATCCCTGTTTTTAATTGGCTGGTAACAAGGACCCAGGACTGGCTCTAATCTCTCTGGAATGTGACCGATTTTCAACTATTTTCCTCTTTTTTTTTTTGTTGCTGTTTCACAGCTCCAATCCCCACGTGGGGGACGGGGGTAGGGGGGGCAGTGGGGGCTGTGTCCCAGCTGGAGCTGAGGGATGGGGAAGGAAAAGGGTCGGGGGGGTCATTTTTCCACATCACCACTGAACCATTCACCAGCTCCCCCACTCTTTGTATATTTTGAAAGGGTCCCCCCTCTTCCCTTCCCCCCTCCCCTCCCCAGCCTCCCGAAATGGCCTCGAAATGAGAATCAGCCTTTTATCCCCCAAACCTTCCCCCGCTGCTGCCTCTCTGCCTGTCCCGTCCCCATCCCCTCCCCATCCCCTCGCGCCTTCTCCGCTTACAGAGCGGCCCAGAAAGCCCCTTTGTGACAGGGAGCGGGCAGGGGGTCCCGAGGGGGGGCCAGGGAGCCCCCTCAGCATTGGGGGGACATCTCCTGCCTTACCCTGTGCATGGTCACGGGGATCACGGTGGGGGGGACATGGAGGGGGGGGCACCGAGGGTCTCATCCAGGCTCATCCCCTGGGGATGGGGATGGGCAGTGGGGGGTCCCCAGTGTCACCCCAGCAGGGCTGCAAGGGGAGGCACCTGGGACATCACCCTGGGCGTGGCTGTGGGGCTACCCCTGTGCCCTGGGGCTGTCCCTGTGCCATGGGTCACCCGGATTTGGGGGGTTGTCAAACCTGAACAGCTCCTGCATCTCAGGGAGGGCCGGGCTGTGGCATGCCCGGGGTGATGGTGAATGCACGAGTCGTGGTGAGCCCACAGGTCACAGTGGGCCCAGGGGTGACAGTGGGCTCGTGAGTGACAACCCTTGGGTGACAGCCATGGGTGACAGTGAGCCCATGGGTGACAATGAGTCCACAGGTGGGCAGTGAGCCCACAGGTGACAGCCACGGGTGACAGTGAGTGAGTTCATGGGTGATAATGAGCCCACGAGTGACACTGAGCCCATGGGTGACAGCCCACAGGTGACACTGAGCTGGTGGGTCACAGCGACCTGGGGTCAGGGGTCACCCACATGCCAAGCACACTCCGGGTGTGTGCTGTCCTGGCTCCCAGCCTCCTCCACAACCAGCTGCCAAGGGACAGATCCAGTCCTGACTCCTGACACCAGTGGGATTATCCCAGCAGTGCCAAAAGTCTCCCCATGGAGGCACTGGAGCATCCCTGTGCTGGGATGGGGATGAGGAGTGGCCCTGTGGCAGCCGGGTCAGACAGGGAAGCAGGTTTTTGGGGAACCCGTGTGCTGGCAGCTGTGGGAACGGTTGGATCATGGGGAATCCTCATCTTGGCTTTGGGACTGTGCTGTGCTGAGGGGGTCCTGGGTGGGGGGTCCTGGGGTGCCAGCGGGGAGAGGATGTGATGGGGGTTTCTGGCTGCTGGAGATGGAGCAGGATACTGGGGATGGAGTGGGGGGATGCTGGGGATGGAGGCAGAAGGAGGATACTGAAGGTGTGTGGGATACTGGAAATGCAGGAGTGGGATGTTGGAGATGGAGGGGGGATACTGGAGATGAAGAGGAGGGGATACTGGAAGTGCAGGGGCGGAATACTGGAGGTGCAACAAGGGATACTGGAGATAGAGTCAGGGATACTGAAGGCAGAGGAGGGGATGGATGCAAGGGAAGATGCTGGATGGGATGTGGAGTGCAGGAGGAGATAGATGGGATAGTGGAGATGCAGGAGGGGGATGGTGGAGACTGGGGGATAGCAAGAGGTGCTTCAGAGGGGACACTTTGGGGGTGGCAGGAGGTGATGCAAGGGGGAGGAACCTGCCAGCCCTGGAAGAGTTAACACTCCCCCAAACTCCTCCTGGGTTTTCCTTCCAGCTGCCTCAGCTCAGGAAGGTCTGTATGTGGGGAAATTCCTGCAGGCAGCTGCTCCAGCCACATTCCCACATTCTCCAGCCCTGGCATCTCCAGGGACCTTCCCTCCCTCCTGCTGTCTGCGGGAAACGCCTCTGCACCCCCCCCCAGACACTACACAAAGTGCCTTTCTTTGGGGGGGCTGCTGGGGAGACACCTCAGTGTCACAGCAAGATTTAACTCAGGACGGGGAAAACCCCCAAGCACCTCCAAACCCCCTGTGTTTGCCCCCCCCCCAATATGGGACTGATTTCTCGCATGCCAGTAATCTGGGGTTGATAGTGGTACCCCAAGGACTGGGGACGGGGGGGCACCCCCAGGCACAGGGACCTCCCAGGGAGGCAGCACCATTGGGGTGGGGCTTGGGGTTTAAATTTGGGGGGTTGCACCATCTGGGGTTTAAGATTCGAGAGGAATCTTAAACTGTTTTGGACAGAAATTTGTGGGTTGCAGTTTGAGGCTTTGCACTCTTTGGGGCAGAGATTTGGGAATTAAAGTTTTGTGCCATTTGGGATTTGGGAGTTTGCACCATTATTGGGGTCTGTAGAGGCACATAGGGTTGAAAACTTCCCTGTGTCCCCCCAAAACTTCTTTGCCACCACCCCAGGGTGTCCTCCATGGCTTGAGGTGTCTCCAGCCAGCACAG